TTCAGAAGTTGCCTTGGTGCTGACTTGGTGTGGGTAATCTTAAAGAGACCAAGTACTGGGTTTGGCATGTGAAATTCTTGGGTGTGATATGATGCAATCCGAAAAGGGAAAACACACAGGAAAATGCAGCCAGAGAAGGCTAAGGAAGAGAAAAGGCAAGGTCTATTGGAAGACATTTGGTTGATTGGTTGGTTGGTTGGTTGGTTGGTTGGTTATATGGATGGATGGATGGATGGATGGATGGATGGATGGATGGATGGATGGATGGATGGATAGATGGACAGATACCAACAAAGCAGACATAGTCCCCATATTTCTCACAGAACACAAAGGGAATGGAGACAGAAAAGGGTTGCATAGTATTCCTCTTGACCAACTTTCCATCTTAATTTCTGCTGTCTGGGAAAATTAACCTATTGCCTATCTTCCCCCGCCCCTTAAGTAAGAAACCACCATCATCATTACAATACTGCAGATGGAGAGACTGAGGTCCACAGACCAACTGATCTACAAACATCTATTAAGTCCTTTGCAGAAATAAACGTCAGACTTGTACAAGCAACCGTTATATTTTTTTCAGATTTCCAAACTGTGGCATGAAGCCAGGCTAAAAATAAGTCCCATCAACCATCTTTTTCTCCCTGGTATTTACTTCAAACCAAGGAAGAGATGCCCAGGACTGCCTCTATTTAAACTGTTACGCCAAAAACCAAAACATACTACAGTTACTGTTCGCTGGGCAGGGGATGATAGTTGTAATTGATCGGCTCATTCAGTCATCAGTGATCATTATTCCACCATGGCAGCTTTCTGATAACCAGCTTGGTGTAGTATTTAAGGCACTAGGCTACAAACCAGGAGACTGTGAGTTCTAGACGCACCTTAGGAACAAAACCAGGTGGGTGACTTTGGACCAGTCCCTTTCTCTCAGCCCAAGGAAGGAGACAATGGCAAAGACTGTGATGTTTCCCTGTGTCATATATATGTGTGTATGTAGGTATATGCATAATGGGGGGGGGGGTTTAGAACTGAATGCAATGTAATTTTATTTTAATGTATGCTGATTACTGTACATTTAAATGACAATATTCTATTCTATTCCATTCCATTTCATATTTTCTATTCTACTCTACACTACTCTACACTACTCTACTCTACTCTACTCTACTCTACTCTACTCTATTCTATTCCCAAGAAAACTGCAGGGATTTATCCAAGTAGTCACCAGGAATCAAAAACTGACTCAAAGAAACACTCGCTAAAAGAAATAAAAATTGTGAATCCTCTGCACCAGTTCAACATTCTGGTTCCCACATCATATTAATCCAATACCAGGTTGCCAGTCTCAGCTTCAAACAAAGTAACAGATTATGTTTGTCTAACACACATATCTTAGTTAAAGTTTATTTAAAACATAGTTCTGCATCACACATATCTTGAGTTACTAAAAGAGTTACTAAAAGGATCCCTTTTCCACATTCACTCAATACACAGGAGGATAAATTAGTGAATGGAAGTGTGCAAAACTCTACCAAAAACTAAATAATCAGGATAAAGCTAAGCTGTCATAGCAAGTTGTGCAAGTATAGCTTCCAAATCTCCTGTGTGGATGCAGCCATAGTTAGTATTTGCTTTTGCAAAGAAATAAGCTTGGAATCCATGTATTTAGCCAGGAACCCAAAATGAAATAAAAACAAGAAGCAGTATGGAACAACTCATCAATATTTCACCAACTTCTTAGCTTTGTTATTCTATGTAAAGTAAGAAATACGACAATGCCATTATAAAAAAACTACTTGATATTTACTTAATGCCAAGTAATTCAAAGAGAAGCAAATCCGTGTTAATCAAAAATGTCCAACCGGATTGGGTACATACTATAGCTGAATGAGTATTTTCAACTCCCAGCAGTGAGAAAAAAGAGCTTGTCTTCTAACAAAAAGCTTTGATATATCATAGCATGTTTCTCCAACCATCTCAAATCCAAGGAGATGGGGTAAACTAGATATTTGTAAGGATGTTGGTGGGCCCAACAGTATTTCCACTTCAAAATTGAAAAGAATGAATGGATGAAGGAAGAGTATCCTTGGATTGGTGGCTTCATTTCAAGGAAATCTGCAGTGGTGTCAGTCAAATAATCCATCCTACATCTCCTTAAGCACATAGCAGCCAAATCTCCTTGTTAGAAGTTCAAAATCTCTACGGATCTTGCACCAGACCATGCAATTAATCCAGGAATTTCTATACTTTTTACTCTGATGAGTAGCTAATCCCAAAAGTTCAAAGAGAAAAGAACATCTCCCCGTCATTTGTTACCTCCCAGTTGAGGAACTGAGTACTCATCGGTATAGTCAATAAGGGATGCTTCAAATCTTGGCTCATCAAAAGACACAAGAGTCCCTGATCTTGAGGATGCTAGAAACTGAACATGGAACCTCCTGCACGCAAGATGACTGTCTCACCACTTGACTAGAGCTGTGTCCCTAAGCTTCCTCCATTTCAAAGCATCCCACCTCTCTCATGACAAGGCACAGAGAAAGCTTCATCTCATTTTGTAGTTAGATATAAGCACCGTCATCTATTGAGCAATCCTGTAATCCAGGTAGAAGACTACCATTGTCCCTGTGAAAGACGGCGAGAAGTCTGGGAAAGGAATAGAAGGAAGAAGAACCATCAAGAGGCCCTAGGCCAAGGGGTCTTCAAACTTGGCCCTTTTATGACTCGTGGACCAACTCCCAGAATTCCTCAGCCAGGCACGATGGCTGAGGAATTCTGGGAGTTGGTCCACAAGTCATAAAAGGGCCAAGTTTGAACACCCCTGCCCTAGGCCAATCCTTGGCATCTCATCTCACAAATTGCAACTCAACCCATTAGAGAGAAACCCCAAAAGAAGCATTTCAGATCATTTAAATCAGTGTTTATGCTGGTTGGGGAATTCTGGGAGTTTGAAATCCAAGTTGCCAAGCTTGAAAAAACTCTGCTTTAAAGAGGCTCCAGCTTAATGGACTCATGGTAAATGAGGGTTAGAAACTGCTTTTGCTCTTTCAAAGGTTTTGTATTTAACCCAAGCCTGGATTTAAGATACCTTGTTGGTGTCTCTTTAATTCTTGCTTGCCTAGCAGATTTAACAAACCCCAGATCTGAATAGAAAACATATTTACCTTCTATTTATTCACTGGATCCAGGCACCTGTTTCCAAAGACTTTGGGGACAAACCAAGTTCTTCCCTCATCACATTATACAATGAAACAGAAACAAACATGAGAACATTTGATTGAGAACTCTGATCTTTTAGACATTTGTCTTCCCCCCATGAATTCCCCAATTAAGCTTTGCAACGTAAATCTATCTCCTACCGAAGTCATCACATGTCACTAGGCTATGCTCACAACGTATGTAATTAGTTCAGGTATAGTGTACACTCAGCAGCTGCATTCGTGCAAGCTGCTGTGTGTTACCCTTGCTTGTTTTTTGAGGGTTAGTGTATTTTGCAAATGTAGCCAGTGTGGTTAGTTTAAGACTGAATCCTCAGCAAATACTCAGAAAGTAGTTGACCGTGTGGCCTGAATTTAACGTACCACAATCGTATCTACTGTCTGCTATTAAAACTAGCCTTGCCTAAAAAAGAAGCTCTTTTAATAAGAGCCGACATGCATTTATCTAATCATGTTCCAATCAGCCCTTCAGCCAGAATCCCCATTTCAGGACTTTTCTCTTGACCCAAAAGCATTAATGAGTATTCTATGCCTGTTGGCTATGGCTAATCTTCATTGGACCGTCCATTCTTGGAACACACACACACACACAATTCATTTAGAGACCAAAGTTACAACTGAAAAAAAGAGACTTATGACCATTTTTTCACGGTTATGAGCGTTGTAGCATCCCCATGGTCACATGATTAAAATTTGGATGCCTGGCCACTGGAGGCCACATAGGTCAAGGACTACCTATGCAAAGTTAACCTCATTTCTCACTCAGGCATCGTTTTGGCCTCATAAACGTTAACAGCCCAAATCTCAGAAAGAGCAGGAGTAATCCTATGGCAATTATCAAACTCTGGAAGCTAATACTGCCATCTCTGACCAAGTTATTAAGGGTCCTTCTCTGAATTTTGCGATCTTTAGAGTTAAGAGAAGAGCCTGCTACCCTTAAGACGCCCGAAACTTGAGCAGCAAGAATTGATCCTTTTTACAAAGATAGATGAGGTCATAATGAAGAGCTTGCTATGTTTGGTGAATAAACAACAGCACTTCAATCTTCTAGGTCGCTTTCCTTCACTAGTCTATACAGGTTCAACCTGCTACCATCAACACAACACTGACATGGAGTAAATGCTGATACGTTATTTAGTCTACAACTCTACTAAACCACATCAGATGGAGGAAAACCCCGAGAAAGCCACAATAATGCAAGGGATACAATGGTCCTCCACAAAACACACTCAAGTCAAATCAAATCCGTGCATTTGACTCTACAGGAAGTCCAGAATAAGTAGCAAAGATAAACAAGACCTGTTAACTCAGGTCAGGAGTCATTAAGCTTGTTTCCCAGAGCGGCCATTCAGGTGTACTAGAAAAGCGTTCAGAGACAGCCATACGCTCCAACGTTCTACGCTCAAGAATTTGCATGGATTCAGGAGGAACCCAGACATAAAAAGCCCGCATTGTTATCCTAGCTAACAGTCACTTTCAGATGTCTCTTCGATGGATCCATCACACCCAACTTGGCATTCTCCAAATATGCTGGACTACCATTCTCATCGTAAAGATAATGTGAACAGGAGTTCAGCTCATCTGGAGAAGGTTACCTTCGGGGAAGCTGGTCCAATTTTTAAAGTCACCCAAGATGGCAGCCAACATCAACTCAAAAAATGCTTTTTTTTTCCTATTTAGCCCCAAGCTGCCAGTTCCAACCAAAGCTCGTTCATGGTTGCCTTTGGGGAGGGGGATTTTTCACCAGGCAGGGAAAGCCCTCTTCGATCCAAGAGAAGAGCTCACCTCTGGGAGAGGCATCCCATTGATAATGAGATCCGGCTGCTGGGGTCCCTGGCCCGTGAAGGTGTGGTGGTAGTTGTGGTTAGAGCCAGCGTTCCGGTTGTTTTGATTCTCCACGTTGAGAAAGGTGCTTTCCGATCGGCGGCAACCCAGAGGCAGAGTCTGTTGGTGATAGTCAAAGTAGTTGAGGGAGGAGGTCAGGGAGGAGCAGCTGACAACGTTCATTTTGTCCGTCTCCTCTACATCCCGGGGCACCAAGCGGATGTCATTCTTGCTGATTTTTTTCTTCTTGGAGGATTTCTTTTGGTGCCCGTAGGAGTACTCTGCAATTCTGCAGGACACAAGAAAGCAAAGTGAGAACCTTACGTCATCCACACACGGCACGCTAGTCAAGAGGGCATCCCAGAGAGACCGATTTCCCATCCACATGCAGAGTGACTGACGGCTCAGCTCTTTTTTTTTTTTTTGACAGCGAAGGGTCTTGGGGTGTGTCTCTCATAAGCGTAAACAAGTTTGTGGATCCGACACACAAGGACAACCATTGAGGAATAAAAGAGAGGGAGAAAAATATTCCTCTTGTTTTCGGGGTTTTGGTTTGTTTGTTTTTTTTCTGCTGCTGAGAACGGTCGATATCTAGTTACCCGAGATATGGTTCAGCCTGCAGAAAATGGGGGGGAAAAAAATAATGATGTGAAAATCCATGAACTGAAAAAAGAGTATGCAAATGCATTTCCTTTGGTAATAAGGATCAGAAAAATTATTTAAATGGATTCGCAGAAATGGGGAAAGCAGGGAGGGAAATGGGCAGAGAGATTGTTCCGTGCCATTTCCCAGAGCAGTAAACCAGGTTATGTTCCTTCAGCCTGCCCAAAGGTGTTCTATCTAGATAATACACGCTTATAAACAGCCACTGGAGTCAATTACCTCGCACCGACTCGGTCCCCAGCAGCCAGGATTTCTGCAGGCCAATTATCTCATGAAGTCAATTTGCCAGATTAATACAATATTCAAAAAGATCCATCTGGTAGGTTTTGTTCCTCAGTGGTGGTTCTTCCTCATGATATCTCACAGCTTGAAACATCCCACCTGATACTACATCCCAAGTCGTTCCTGTTTTCTGTCCTGGCATCTCCCTCCAGTTGCGTGGACCACATGTTCCCCAGGATTCTCAGCAAGGCTCTGAAGGTCAGGAATTCTGGGAGATGCAGTCCACCCATCTGGCAGGATCAAACACCATTCCTGCAAGACCATTCAGCGGTGAGAGCAGTGTGTTTTGAAAGGAATGCATAACACACACGCACATTTCTTGACCTTTAACTGGTTAACCGAAATACGCCGTTATCTCTCACCCGGGAAAGAAAAATGAGAAAAGAGGAAAGAGCAGGAGGAGAAAAGTTATCAGTAAACAACAGCCAGAAAAATAATTAGAGACAAGAATGCAATCAGTTGTTATCTTGATGAGTTAGCCTAAAGTAACTGTGACTCAGTATTACCACTGGGGACTGTGTCTTGTTATCAGTGCCACACAGACGTAGATATTAAAGGAAGATGTGAAGGCACTGTGGCCAGGCTTTAAAAGTCAGAAATAGATCTCACTTGTACCAAAGGCTGGAAAATGTTCATTTCCCAAAGTCAAGCCTGCTGAGCTTAAAAAACAAAAAAAAAAAATGCCACCATTAAAGTTCATTCCCTATGCTAGCTTTGCAACAAAACTACAAGACAAATGACCTAAACTGAATGCATTCCAGAATATGGGGACTTTCACTCCCACAATCCCCCCCCAGTCAGCATTCCCATTGTGCAGAATTCTGGGAGTTCAAGTGCACACCCCGGGATGATGCCCCATTTCTGGAAGGCTAACTATGAGAATCTTCACCTGACAGATAAAGGCAAGGTGAGACTTTTGCTGAAGGGAAAAAGTCACGGAGAAAATCCAAAAAGATCTTTCTCTCGGTCTCCAAAGAATAAAAAAAAAAATCCACTTTCTTAAAAAATGGCACGTCCTATTGCAGGTTAATAGCTAGGCTGTGTCACTGCAGCATGCGATTCTTCGGAAGGGAATGCAAGAAAGAAAGAAGCTTTGTTTTGCCACCGATGCAGGACTGTGTGATTTCATAAGGAGCAACACAGAAAAAGAACAAATAAATGGAAAGTGCTTCCCATTTGTTTTATTTCAGGCTCTCTGGATTATCTGCTCAAACGATCACTGCAGCCTTGCAGGCTCAAACAGCTCTTGCTTAACCCCCAAGAAATAAAATTAATGACCATTTAGCAACAGGTAGAGATGGAGATTATCCAAATGCCTACATTGGATGCTTAGAGTTTGGATCCAGAAGGCTTATGCAAATTATCAGCACCTGAGAGGAAGCATCAACTAACCTGTCCATATATGTAACATCTCTGCCCCTGGTTTGGTAGACAAAGGACGGGGCCTCCCTACCACACATTAAGGGAGATTTACATTCCCCTAACCCTGATTTCAACGGCACAATGGACAAATAACAAGATATATTCTTCGTAGCATGCCTCTTGCCATATTTTAGAAAACCACAGGGTGCTTCTGGGGAGGAAAACCTCAGCACACTTTCACTAAGCGGCTAATATTTTAAATACATTTTCCCCCCAAAGGAAATCCTGCTGAACTGGATGAAGTTCACTTCTGGAAGGGCTCCTATAGACCTGCCCTGTTCAACATCTCGTGGGTTGAAAGGACTCTGAAATCTTGCCTACTCGGGCATTCATTTGTGCCTTATTTAAGTGTGTTTTTCTCTTCTACTGGCCAATTATTTAATTAAGGTGCACTTCATTAATCCCCAAGCCATCCTGCTAAACCAACTAGTTTACACCAAAGCGGAAATCTGTGAGGGCCGTTGACTCAACTGAAGTCTTGTTTTCCTTCAGCACCTATTCTTGCTTAATGGGCTGAGCTGGTAAAAAAAAATCAACATATTAGATCTTGTTTAAAAGCTGAACCCCTGGAAACACAGTGGACTTATTTGCAGAGGGTGGCCTACATACTTTCACGCCCTGAAACTGTATAGCTGGGAGATATAAACACTCTGTAAAACTCTAGTGAGAAACACAAGTCCCAAACTCTGTGAATATGAACAGTGTGAGTAAGTCACTAAAGAAACGCCAGGCTTCAAATGGCTGGAGGCATTCAGGGTTTTTCAAAAAAAAGCACGACAACACTCATTTCCATCCCCTTCTTTCTGAAATGGCCGAGAACTGAAGGAATGGAGAAGTTATGGCTATTTCATTCGTAACAGGATTAAACCATTTATAGGCAGTTGCAGCTGTTCCTTTATGGCACCCAATTGATATTCATGTGTGGTTAGCGTTTGTCTACTAACTTGTGCGACACAGAAAATAGCAAAAGACAGACAATGATCACACAGCCGTTACATATTCAAGGGGACGCAAATCCGTGTCTTAAGATTTCAAAAGCAGGCGTGGGGGGGGGGGCAAGGCTGCATGTAACCCTCCGTCTTGGACAAACACATCCCTGAATGCTGCCAACCATTATAATAAAAAAATAAATAAATCCAGGCTTCATTCAAATACTACTGGGAAGAAAAACAAAACAGGGAAAAGCAACTTAAAAAGCAACCCTGAATTTTTTTTTTTTTTTAGCAGAGAATGGATAAAGTTGGAACAGGGGAAGAGGGTTAAAGGAAAGCTAGCTTTGCTACCCTTTTCTCCTTGCAAAAACAGCAGCAGACAAGAAGCAAAATTTTCTGGATTTTTTTTTTCCTATCTCTCCCCCCAAGCAGACAATTCAAAGAGGCCTGCCTTTCCCTTCCCAACCCCCAAAAATATCTTTGTATCTTTCTAGCAAAACCTTGCGTTCTTTTATCTTCTCTTCCACCAGCTTTCACATTCCCTTTTTTTTCCCCAACCAACTCCTTCTTGAAGAAAACAAACTGGGTTCTTAAAAAAACAGCCACAGTGACCTCATCTGGCGGGGACAGGATAGCAGTGGGACTGCAGCCACTGTGAAAAAGCATCGCTAGAAGGGAGCTGACTCTCAAACTGATCCAGAGAGCTCTCATTTTTGAGCCTTCCCTCCTTCGAAAAAAAGAAAAGAAACAAAAGAAAGGCATCCAAACCAGGACACAAGAGATACATTACGTTGCCCGTTCAAGATTGCACTTCAAAAGCCTGTTGTACCACTATTATTACAATTCCCTATATTTACCCTCTTTCACTACCCTGATGCCATGGCCAGGGGACTTGTGTGTGTGTGTGTGTGTGTGTGTGTGTAGTTGTTTTTTGTTTTTTAAACAATCCTGGGTAGGCAAAGAATGTAAATTACCCTAATATATCCACTTGACCCCAACTGGAATCTGCAGTTGACCTTTCTATAGGGCCTTATCTGGAAAGCAAGTAAAGTCTTTGCTGGGTTAGAAAGAGACACAGTTATTTAGTGACACATTTAAAGGGTTGATGTTAAGCAGTCACACAAGGGCTAATATCAAAGATGTCGGTACTTTACCTGCAGTTGTAAGTCCTGATTTCTTTGTTATCCCGTTTACACTTGACTGCTACGAAGATCATGGTCACAAACAGGATGGCAGCAATTGAACCCAGAGCAATAATAAAAATCAGGGACAAATTTACAGATCCTATGGATTCTTGGGCATCCAGAGCCGGAGAAAGATATATCAAAATCAAGGCAGATGCTGAAAGCGATGTTTTCCCGTGATCGTGGGCCACGACAATCAGCTCGTACGTTGTCTTGGAATTTTCCCCGAATGCTCTGGTGGTCCTTATCTCACCATTGACCTGGTCAATCTCAAAAAAACCTCGATCCCCTTCAGCCATTTCATAGGAAAGTCTCCCATTCTCCCCTTCGTCGTAGTCATCTGCCTTGACCACGGTCACCAAGTAGCCAACCCCAGCATTCCTGGGGATATAGACTTCTGCAGTCCCATTGACTAAAGGAGGGGCTGTTATCACTGGAGTGTTGTCGTTGACGTCCAGGACAATCACTCGGATGGTGGCATTGCTTTGCAAGGAAGGGTTGCCTCCATCTTTGGCCAAGACCTTGAACTCAAAGGATTTGGTCTGCTCATGGTTGAAGGATCTCAAAGCATAGATGTCCCCCGAGTTGGGATTGATGGAGACATAGGTGAAAACAGGCATATCCCTTACTTGGGATGGGACAATCTGATAGGAGACACTGCCATTTAGACCAAGATCAGGATCCCTGGCAGAAACAGAAAGGAGGTAGGCCCCAGGGGTATTGTTCTCCTGCACAATGACTTGGTAATAAGGTTTGGAGAAGTGAGGGTGGTTATCATTCTCATCTGTGATCTTGACGGTAAAGGACTTGGTGGCCTGCAAAGATGGGATTCCATTGTCCTTCGCTTGGATGGTGAGATTGTACTGGTCCCTCTGCTCTCTGTCTAAACGTCCATCCACAAGGATGGTGGAGAAACTCTCATATTCCTGCAAGCGAAAGGGTACGTTGCCCAACAGTTTACACTGCACGCGGCCATTAGCCCCAGCATCCCTGTCAGAAACTCTCACCAAGGCAATGACGTAGCCTGGAGGTGCGTTCTCACTGACTTCTACCAGCTCGCTATTCACAGAGAGCAAGTTAATGAGAGGGGGGTTGTCATTGGCATCCTGTATAGTGACGGTCACTTTGCAGTGTGCTGGGATGGAGTTGGGACCCAGATCTTTAGCCTGTACATCCAGTTCATAGGCGTGACCTTCTTCATAGTCAATCGCACCAGTGACTGTGATCAGGCCTGTCTGAGAGTTGATCTGGAAGAGGTCCCTGGCCTTCTCAGAGACATAGCTGTGGATGGAATACAAGACTTGCCCATTGGTGCCCTCATCAGGGTCAGTGGCGTTGAGGCGGATCACTGGTGTGCCTGGAGGAACGTTCTCCAGCACACTAACGGTGTAAGACGGTTCTTCAAAGAGAGGGTTATTGTCATTGGAGTCAATGACTCTGATAGTTAACTCCACCGTTCCAAAGTTGGGCGGGTCACCACCATCCAAAGCTGTTATCATATAACTGTAATGAGATTGGGTCTCTCGGTCCAGGCTCTTCTCCACCACCAGCTCGGCAAAGCGAGAACCATCCCCTCGGGTTTTGGTTTCCAAGCCAAAGAGATCGTTGGGGGTGATCTCATAACTCTGCACCCCAAAGCTGCCCGAGTCCGGATCGTAAGCACTTTCAAGTGGTACCCTGGTCCCCGGGCTGGCTGTCTCGGAGATCTCCAGCGCAATTTGATCGGTGGGAAAACTGGGAGCGTTATCATTGAGGTCTTTGATCTCCAGCTTGATCACGCAGATCTCCATGGAGCTCGACATGACCTCTAAAGAGATCACACACTTGGGGCTTTGTCTGCAAAGTAAGTCCCGGTCAATCTTCTGCTTAGTCACTAGTAACCCCGATCCAGGGTTGATGTCCACCAGGTGCGGTGCCGAGTTGGACACCACTCGGAAAGCCGTGGGTTGGCGAGGATCCAGCACAAATCCCGCGTCTCGGGCATCTCTGGCAATGTTTGCAATCACAGTGCCAGCTCTTTGCTCTTCTTCCACCGAATACTTCAAGTTGATCAGAGCCCCTACACCAGTCCACCAGACAGCGAGCAGAAATTGGAGCAGGGGGCAGAGAATATCCATAGCTCTCACCCCTCCGTGCCACCCCCTCCTCCTCCTCCTCCTCCTCCTCCCTATCTCTCCGGGTGCCTGTTGATTTGGTGTCTGGGAAAGGAGGGGAAGTCGGAAGGCTTGACTGGATGGGGTTGTGGAAGAGACAGAAGGAGTGAATCAGAGGGGAAAGGAAGGAAAGAAAAGCAGCCTTTCTCTCTGGGCTCACTTTACAAGCTGGTCTCTTCACTGCGGTCTCTCCCAAGTGCAGCGGTCTCTCCCAAGTGCAGCGGAGCCTTATTCAGCAACCTCCCTAGCCCTAAGGAAGATAAACCGCTTCCCTTCCACTCACCAGATCGGGAGGAGTTACACAATTGGCAAATCTATTCCCAATTTTTCAAAAACACACACACACACAATCGTGAATCGGGGAGGAGGGACCTCAGCTGACTTACACCTGGCATGCGCAAATCTTAAAAAAAAAAAAAACCACTCCTTTACCCCTTTCTCTGTCTCCGCCGCCACTCCCCCTCCCCAATTTTGCACAGACCCTTAGTGAAGAAACTGGAGTAGCTGGGGAGGGGAGGAGGAGGAGGAGAAAGTAGAAGAAGAAAAGGGGGGGGGGAAGAGAAGGGAATCCAACCTCCGGCGGACCAAGGCAGCGAACGAATTCCGCGGAAAGAGAGGGAGGGAGGGAGGGGGGAACCACGGCAGTGGAAGATGGGAATGGAAGGGAATCCAGAGGGGGAAACTGAGGCTAAGAGGCACCCCAAGAGCCGGGGAGGAGGGAGAGGGAGTCACGCAGGAGAAGTCGCGGGGAGGCTGGGCGAGGGGGTGGGGGGAAGGAAGGAGGGAGGCCGGCGAGACGGCAACCTTTCCGGAGAGTCCCTAGCCCTGGAAGTCCACCGAAGGGCAGGCGAGGCGGCGATGGCGGTCCCAAATCGCCGGGGGAGGCATCGGGGGGAGGCAGGGGCGGGGGGGGCGAGGAGACACGCCGGACCCCCCCCCTCACCCCCTTCGCGCTCTTCTCTTTCTCTCTCTTCGCGGACAGCTCCCGGAGGCGGCGGAGGGGAAGCCGAGGCGGCGCGCCGCGAAGCTTCTCGGCCGGGCAGCGCCAGGCAAGGTGGCAGCAGGGCAGGCGGGGGCGGGGGGGGCCGCTCAGGAGCGCCGCCGGGCTCCAGCTTCTCCCGGGCGCCTCTCGGCTCCTCTCGGGGCCCCCATCGATTATCTGGCGTTCGGCCTCCACCCAGCCGCCCAGCGCCGCAGGGAACAAAGCAGCAGCCCGGAAAGTTTGCTGGCGCCGCTCATCGTCCACGGGCGGCCAACGGAGCAACTCCGCGGCTCGGCCAAGCGGCGGGCAGCCAAAAGAATAATAATAATAATAATTAAAACAAAAAACAAAAACAGCAGCTTCTCTCGAGGCAGCTGCAGGAGCGCCGGATCGCCCCGCGCTGGAGTTTTGTTTTTTTCTTTGCCTTTTTTTTTTTCTCACCCCCTTCCACCTTCTTTACGTTGCCCACGGGAAGCTCTCGCCTCTCCGGACGCCGTTCCGAGGAGGCTCCGGCGCGCGCCTTGGCGGAGAGGCCAGCCCCGCACCCGCAGTGCCTTGCAAGGTGGCTGGCCGCCGGCTCCGACTCCTGGCCGGCTGCCTTCCTTCGCCTCCTTCTCCTGGCTTCCCTCTCGCGGCTTTCAGCCCCTCCGCTCCGCTCTGCCCGCCCGCCCGCCTGCCGAGCCGGGCTTCCCCTTGCGCGCCGCGGCTGCTGCTGCTTCTGCTGCTGCTGCTACTGCTGCTGCTGCAAAACTGCCGGCCGCCCGCGAGCAGGAGCGGTACAGCGGCTCGGGTCCCGAGCTACGGCAGGGCTTCAGCCAATCGGAGCGCGGGGAAACGCGTTCCAAGCCGAAGGGGCGGGGCCGGCGAGGAGGAAAGGGGCGGGGGGGGCGGCGGGTGTAGTGGACAAGCGCGGCACCCGAAGGAATCAAAAGCAGTAGCGTTTTGTCTGTGTCTGTGTGTCTGTGTCTGCGTGTTGGTGTCGGCGTCTGAGCCGAGGGTGCAAGAGGAGAAAGAAAGAAAAAGAAAGGGGGGGGGGGTTTCGGGAGCAATTATTTTTCCCTTTCTTCTCCTATCCCTTTCTTTCCCCTCCCTCCCTCCCCCTTCATTTCAGGCTGGAATTGGCGCTGGGGGAGGGGGAGGCCAGGCTTTTAAGACGCACAAACACACCCCTGGACGTTCCCCGCGGGGCCAGCCGAGCCTTGCAAGGAGGACCAGCCCCAGATGCGCCCTGGACGCCAAGCTTGGAAGCCCGTCTCCCCCCCCCTCCACCCGCCAAGCCCGGTCACGCTCCCTGGCGTTGCTCCCGGGAGCGGAGAAAAGTCCCGCTCTGGCTTTTGTTTGGAAACGTCCCTTAATGCGTTTTTTTGCCTCGGCTAACGCGCGCGGCGGGGCGGCTTTCATTGGCTTCCCTGGTCCTGACGCTTCCCCCCCCCCCCAAAGCTTTGGGTGAAATGGATTTGTTCCACGCACGGGGGGGCGGTGGGCAGCTTGGCTGGGGAGAAGCTGCAGGGGGGAGGAGGAGGAGGAGAAGGAGAAGGAAGAGATCCCTCCAGCCCTTTTCCTCTCCTTAATCCCCCCCCCCCCCAAGATGCAACTTTGTCTGGAATCTGCTTCTTAAACCCGGCTTTTGTTCACCCGGAGAAAGAGAAAGAGAGGAAGCTTTTAAAAAAAAAAAAAAAAAAAAAAACAGGAGGGGGGGGGATTCTGGATCTTGCCAAAAAAGAAAAAAAAAAGGTGTCTTGCACTGCAGTGCTATATATGCCTTTTTCTCAGTCTGGTCTGGTTTCAGACACTGCACCAAGTCATAGTCTACTGAATAAAAGTGCTGTCACGGAACTGGGTTCTGAGCGTGTTGCTAGGCCCAGGCCCAACTCACACTGTGGTGGTTAGTGCCATGTTTGAACCCGGTTTCATATTTCATACAGTGGGGCGGCATGCGAGGCTAAGCTGCAAGATGGCATTTAGCCATAATTTAGTTTGCTTGCTTTGCTTAGCAAACCCAGCTGTTGGGGATCTTAAGCTGTGGTTCGTAACTCAGGATGCGGGGTGAACAGAGCCCCATTGCATTCTATTCCACAAACCTTGAGTGCGCTTTTAACTCTGCAGCAGGTAAACTTTTCCATTTAATGCCCTTTGAAACAACCTACTTATAAATTCACAATTGCTATGAAGCATTGAAAAGACAGGTGAGCAATGACCTGACTGCAGCCAGAGAAAGGTCTTGTAATTCTACTAAAATAGAGTAGATTAATTCTGTTGCAATTTAAGGGCCACTTCCTTCAGTCCAGGAAGAAATCTTATTTCAAAGCCAATTTTTTTTCCCCTTTAATCTGCAAAACCAAAACTCAATCACTAGAGGAGAAGACAAGAGGTTTATCAGCAGCCCTACACATAGAGAATTTCCACACACACTTCTTTGCTTGAGAAAGTGTTCAAATAACCTATACATCTACGCCTTTTATATGAACCAAAGGGTTCCAACAGATTGGTAAATTAACTAATTCCACCCTCTTCACTGCACTGAGCAAAGCACTCCTGGCATTAGTTTGCATATTTCTGTTGCCTGGACCTGCATTAATCCCAAACATGGAATGTGCCTTGAATGAGGTCAGTTCGTCTTAATAAATTTAGGGCTATAAAAAGAAAGGGGAAGACACCTCCTCCTCTTTTCCTGGTGTGTGCTTGTTAATTACAGTCACTAGATGAATAGAATGCCAAAGTTGTAAAGAGATGTTCCAGGGGTTCTTTTCAAACACACTGAATCCTTAAATCAATGAAACTAAAAAGTATGCTTATAAATCAATCCGACTGCCTTGAGAATTGATTTCCCTGAATAAGATCCTTGTCCAGGGGTCTATTCTGTTTGATTTTAGTTTAGTTAGGCTCAGTATATTGCTTTCTGTGGTTTGTATAATGCAGTCCTGACCCCTTTCGGGAAAAGTAAGTGAAGGAAAGAATAAAAGCATTTAAAAAGACAAGAGGGAGGGGTAATTGCTGCCATCTGCCCCCCACAGCAGGTATTTTTCCACGCAGCAAGAAATAACTTCACAGTTATTGCTGGAATGTACCAAGTTGGTTTCTACCTGTCTCCATAAGTTATGTTTTATCTGGCACATCACAAAGAATGACTCATCTAAAATTTAGAGAGCGGGCAGATGATGGAGTTTAAGAGGAGACCAGCCACCATGTGCTTCCTTTAATTGACACAATACTGGGGCCAAGTAAACTAACGATTAGATCTTGAGGCAATATGGATGGAGCCATTACATTGATCCGATGGGCATCCCTAAGACCAGTGAAAGTTAAAAATAGATTCATAATTTTTTATAGGCCACACCATCCAAAGCATCTACTCTCAAGAGAGAAGCATCACCAGAGAACGATTCTGTTTTATACAAAAACAATGTGCCAGAGCTTCAAACCAATCCACAGCTCGGGTCCTATCTAATCAATAATCAATGGTAGTGTAGTAGAACACAGGAATATTTTCCTTCATTTTCATAGGATAAGCAACACCAGAGTCTGAAGATGGATAAGATAAAGACCCAACATTCAGATGGGCTGAGTCTACTTATTGCCATGACCATAGTGCAACACATGATTAAGTGCCCATTGATTTTAGTGCACTTAACTATGTGCCCATTTTAAAGGTTTTTCTTTATTACCCGCTTTCCTAACAGCCAATTTCTCAAAGCAATCCATAATGGAAACCACAGTAGAAATGGTCAGTAACTCCTACAAATATTCTAAGATTGCCTTCCTAGACCTAGTGTCCTAGGAGTTAGGCCCCTAAGGGATTCAGCGGGACTTAGCAGCTAAGTAGCATTCTTAAGACCGGATTGGCTCATAAAAATGGAATGGGACAATAATGAAAACAATGAATTTCATGGAGTTTCACAATGCCCCTCCAATGACCTATAAACATAAGCATTGGCTTCATGTTCTCAGATATTCAAAGAATTCAACTGGGTGCATTTGCACAACACAATGAATCACATTTTGTTTTGTTCCATTGGATAATCCTAACTTGTATGATTCGTGTTTGGTTTGTTGCGCTGTGCAAATCCAGAACTTAAGAAAGAAAGAAAGAAAGAAAGAAAGAAAGAAAGAAAGAAAGAAAGAAAGAAAGAAAGAAAGAAAGAAAGAAAGAAAGATTGGGTTAATCATAGGTTAGGTGTAAAAATAGTAGTTGTCTCATTTTGATGTTTACAACAAGCCTGTAGGATAGATTAAATATATTTAGGAGGATGAAAGAGATGGAGAAATAATTGCAAGAAAGTAGTTTTCTGACAGCCTTTGAAAGAGAGTCATGTCATGAAAGAAATGGTGTTCAAGTCTTTTCATCTGGATTTCTCCTTTTCAGAGAGTTAACTGTGTTTGTTTGTGAAAGCTCATGAGATGCCTGTTGGTTTAGATTTTTCCAGCACCAGGTTAATCAAAAGGACATAGCATCACCTTGTAAGGTCTCACAAGCCAGGAGTAGTGAGAAAGTAGGACTAGGAGCTGACATCTGTGGAGATCTTACCACATATGGT